AAAAGTTTTCAGCAAAGAGCTAAAACTAAAACGTGAAATTGTGTCGCTTTCAATACCCTATATTTTCTCTTTTTCCTTATTATTTTTATTTAATCAAAGAGATTAAAATCTTTAAGATAAATATTCTTAAAAAAATTTATGACAAAATAAATTTAAAAGATTTGAAGAATTAAATAATGAAAAATAAGAAATACTAAATAAATGCTATTAAAATTTAAAAACATAAGAGGATATTTTTCTTTTTTTTTTAGATGGCGAATTATATTTTTATTTGAAAATTAAAAATAAGAAAAAATATTGAAATTTATTTTAAAAAGGAATAAATGTCAATTTGGACCAAAAATTTATTTAGCAGGATAAGAAAATGTTAGATTTGACATTTTTCATCAATTTAGCCATTAAACTTATTCAAACAGATTAAAAATGTCAAATTTAACTTTTTAGACCAATTTAATCTTTGAACTTGTATTAAAATGTTTATAAATTAATGAATTGATTTAATTTAATAAGATTAACTTTTATCCTTTTTTGTTTATGTATTAAAAACGTACAGATCAAACTTTTCAACACTTCTGAATAAAAGTTTAAAATCTGTAAAAGTATTGCAATACAATAAATTACAAATTTTATTTGTTCAACATGGGAACTGCATAGATTTTATTTGCAATAACTCAGTAATAAATATCAATTTTAAAATATTTAAATTAATTTATATTTATAAACTCATAGTCATCGGTCAAGGTAAAGAGAAATACAATATACTTCATATATCATTTTTCTCTATTACTGAAATGACCCGGAAAATCCTTTTCAAAAATTTTTCATTTAAAAATATAATCATAAAACCTAACCAATGGAATCAATGGAAAAATATTTTATTATTACTATTTAAAAATATAATCATAAAACCTAACCAATGGAATCAATGGAAAAATATTTTATTATTACTAAATTGGACCCGTAAACCAGCCTGAATTTTTCAAAAACCACGCGAAAAACTCAAAAACCAACCAAAATCGGGCCAAATCTTTAAATTGAGCCAAACCGGTTCGAATCGAACTAGAATGGCCCAGAATTATCTAGAATCGCCTTCTCTTTTCTTTTTTTTTTTATCTTCTTCTTCGCAGGCGCGTGAGCGCCGCTCTCGCTCTCCCTTCCTCGTTTTCCAGCCATCGCACCACGAAAGCAAGTGGAGGTCGAGATTCCTTCATGCCGTCAGTCGCATTCCGGCCATCATTCACGCTGAATGGGGCTGCTGGGGTGCGACACCAAGCTGTCTCCCTCTCAACAATTCTCTTCTTAGATTTCCGGTGACCCACGCCATTTCCGGCGATCCCAATGAAAGAGACAAGAACCAATCGACTCTCCGCAGCACTATGAGTAAATCCCCTCCATAAATTCGCGATTTCACCGAGGTTTTGAGGAGCAATCGTGCGCGGAGGAGGAAGAACGGCTGTCGGAGCTATTTCCGACCCACTGAGGCAGTAACTCCATGAATTGACGCCGGATTTTAGCTCTTTATAGAATTTCAAGCCTGATGGTGTAAGAATCGCCCGATTCCGGTGAAGTTCGACATTCCGACCACCGTGCATGGCAGCGGCGGCGGCGGTTGTTCGGCCTGCGAAACCCCAAGAGGCAGAATGCTCCTTTTCTCACGCTGCTCGTGGAATCGTTGCCTGATTTTTGATCTGTACGCCCTAAGACCTATTTTTCCATTTTTGGGTATAAATTTCAAATTTAAATGCCTGATTTTTGATCTGTACGCCCTAAGACCTATTTTTCCATTTTTGGGTATAAATTTCAAATTTAAATTTATTGGTTAATTTAGTTAATTTCGAATAAATAATTAATCGAAGGACTTTGAAATATTAGGTTGGTTTGTGAATTTAATTGGGAAATTTTTAGGAGAATTCGAACTTAGGATTCAATTGTTAGAAATTGTTATTACATTAGGTTGAGTGCGTAATTAAAAATCACTATCCGACCTAATTAAATACACTTAATGTTGAAAATCTAGAACTTAAGTCATTTAGAATAATTGTCATAAATCGAAACATGAAGGATGAATTAGAATTAATTAGTTAGATAATTAGATGGTCGAATCTAAATAAGTAGAAGTTATAATTAGTTGTTGTTAAAAACAAGTTTAAACCACTTAATTAATTAATTACCATAAAACTATTAATTTTGTTAGCTTATGATTTAATAAATACGTTATATGAATATTATTGGATCTCAAGTTGAAGGTTACTATATTTGTGAATTTAGGGTTAACAATTTAGGGTTAACATAGTTGGGTGATAATGTTGATGTTGCAGGAGGAAGAGCGTTTGCATTGATTGATTGTTCGACAGATGGGCTGTGTGAATTGAGTAATAAATTAAATGAATGATTATGGTTATGGGGAATGGGATGAGTTGATGTGAATTGCCCGATGGATGGGCTTTGAAAATTTGTTATTGAATTATGGTTTGATCAAATTCTAGGGTAGGTTCCGCCGAAATGTCGATAGAACCTAGGTTAGTCTTAATCAATAATTAAATTGATTGGTTTATTAGATTAATTCGTTAACTTGATACATAATAAATAAAGTTTTCTAATTTTATTATTATTATTATTATTATTTAGTTATTTTATTATTATTATTTAGTTATTTACATTATTTATTTATTTTCGCTGGATCAATCTTTATTATTAATAATATGTTGTTGATTACTATTTTTTTTTTATTTAATTATAATTAACTATGAATGTCAAATTGTGCAATTGCATCATGTTTAACTTATTGTTTTTTGCTATGCTTGCAGTTAATTAATTGTTTGCTATGCTTGCATTTAATTGCAATACTTGATTAATTGTGTTGTGATAATGCTATACCTTGTATGTGTGGAGTTGAGATGAAATGGGTTACCATGTGTTTGTGAGGGCGGTCTTTGATACCGTCGGCCATGTATGGGGAGATCGGCGCCCCCGTGTGCACATGATGATATGGATTTTATGGAAACCACAGAGTGGCCTCCTGTTGGTATGAAAAAGAAAAGAGAGAATAGAAAAACAATGAGAAGGCTGGTCAAGTGAGGATTAGACCGGTCGGCCATGTATGGGGAATCGGCTCCTTGGTGCACACGTCATGAGAGGATGGGCCATGTGGGAGGACGGCTCATCGGGGATTTCGGTGATGCCACAGACCAATTTCCATGTGATGTGATTATGTGAAGTTGTGAATAATTATGAGTGCTGATGTTATGCCATTCGTGTGACTGCCTGTGCGAGCATATAACTAGTCGGATGACTATAATGATATATTTATATCTTTGTGTGAATGTGTGTGCCGTGCAATGATTATTATTTTTTGTAAAACTCACATGATTTATTTAACTTTTCAGGTAGTAGGTTCCTCTTCATTTCGGTCTAAGCTCTGTACCTTTTTTTCTCAGAGTTAGGAAAAAATTTTCCCAGTTTTAGTAACTAAATTGCTATATAACTATATGGATAATAATATAATTGTATTTATCTACTAGTGAACTCCGCAGTTGTAGGATTTATATACCTTTAGTCGTGTATTAATATAAATGAAATAATTCTGTGAGCCCATATTATAAATGTGGTGTATTGTGTAGTTCCGCAGTTGTAGGATTTATATACCTTTAGTCGTGTATTAATATAAATGAAATAATTCTGTGAGCCCATATTATAAATGTGGTGTATTGTAAGCTGGATCGATTTGTAAATGTTTAAGATGTTATAATTTGGGGCTGAATTATAATATAAATATGAGGTTTATTTTCTCATGGCAATATGAGCTTAATACTTAGAATTTACATTGATATAATTGAATTTTTTTAGTTAGACTTACTACGGGCCTCGGGGGCTTTAAATTTACCTGGGTCCTAGTGCCGGTCCGGCCTATGGTTTCGAATTGTGACAATTACATATTTAATTAATTATTTTTAACAAATTATACAGTTTAATCTCCACTATAGTCTTAAGTGCTTTTAGGTATAATGAAGAATCAACTATTAAATTAACCTAATATTTAATTTAATTATTTTAATCATTTTAAACAAGTTAAGAGGTTGCATACCAAGCTTGACCTAATATTAAATATATGTACTACTTGATAATAAATTTAGATTCGAGTCATCTCCCTCAATACTAAAAAACAAGTTCAGGGAATCAAAATTAACTCGAAATATTAAATATGATACTTTTAATCATTTCAAACAAGTTTAAAAATTAAATTTTAATTTGAGAAATTAAATATGATCTTTTTTATCATTTCAAATAAGTTTAAAAATAAAATTTGCCGATAATATAAAATCTATTATTTTTAATCCCATTTAACAAATTCAAAAGCAAAATCAACCTTTATTCGCTTTTAGAAAATACAAAAATAAATATTTTTGAACCAAATAATACTCATCCCTACATCAAATTAGGGGTAATTGATGGTTTTGGTTCAATAAATAAATATTTAGAATTAGGGCGGAAATAAATTGAGGCTTGAATCAATTCTAACATTTTAATTTGTTCATGTTTTAGTTTTGGTCGGATTTTAATTTAATTTAATTTATTTTATTTTTTAAACTTCTATCTATTTTATTTGATCCCAAAATCTTGAGGGATTGGAACCGTTGATTGATGTTGAACGCAAAATTGATAATTTCGAACGTCTTTCAGTATTAACAATTCTTAATTTAATTTCAATCCAAATTGAACCGTTGGTTAACCTAATTGGAGCATCGTGCAAGCAAACCTTAGTAAGTTGTATGTATTCTGAAAAGTGAAGGTTTTTACTTACTATTATAAGAAGAAAGAGAAATGAGGAAAAGTTGCCTAAAATGGTGGGTTCGTTGCACGTCAAAGTCAAAAACCCTCTAAAAGGCTAAAAAAAAAAAAAAAAAAAAAACAAAAAAAAAAAAAGGAAAACCAAAAAAAAAAAAAAAAAAAAGGAAAACAGAGAGAGAAGTGAAAATCCAACTCACCCCCTCAAAAAGCCAATAAGCCCACAAACAAATCAACAGAGAAGAGAACCCTCTTATCAATGGATTTCCAAAACGCAAGATTTGTTGTTTAATTACAACCCTCTCTTTCTTTAGAACCCAAAAGAAAAAATAAAAAAGAAAATTGAAAATCCTATAACCAATCACAGCTACACAATCTCTCCCTCTCTCTCTCCGTCTCTGTCTCTTTCTCTCTCTAGATCTGCCTTTATTACAACCTTTTTATTTGTTAGAACATTCTGAGTCTCCCCTTTCATTGATTCTCTCAAATAAATCCTTCCAATTTTTGGGCTTTTGATTAATTTTAAGCCCTTGGATTGAAGGATTTTATATTTATAAATATATATTTTTTGAGAGATTGGCAAGGTATCTTGGAAACCCTTTTACCATTTTCTTTTTTGCACCCAAATGTTAGATTTAGATTTTTTTTTCCCTTTTATATGGTGTTTTAGTTCATAATTTGTGATTTCTGGGTTGTACCCATTATCTGCTTTTTTATTGTTTTATGTTTCAGATTGATGGTGTCTGCAGTCTGATTTTTGTGACCTATCCATGGCCATATAAAATTCGCAAGGTGTGTGGGAGAATTTCTATAGATATTATTTTTGCATTTCAAGACTCTTATGATGCATTTCATCACTTGCCCTATAAAGTTTAAGTTTTGATTGTGTGATATTCTGCCAATATAGGTTCTGGTTCTATGCATTAATGTTTGATGATAATTTTATAAGGTAGTTTGTTATTGTCTATGTTTGGATTCTTGTCTCAAAATTCATTGACTTGCATGGTAGGCTTAAATTCTCTTTAAAGTTTAACGTCTGTGGCTGTGCTATATTAATTTAATTAGATTTATCTGTGTCTCAAACTTGATTAAGCAGTTTATGGATATGTCCATGAATTTGGTTGATTTGAATGGTTGTTTTTTCATCCTGTTTTTTTTTTTTTTTTTTTTTTTTTTTTTTTCATCTTTTTTTTTTTTTTTTTTTTTTTTTCATCTTTTTTTTTTCTTTTTTCATCTTTTTTTTTTCTTTTCCTTTAGACTTTTTCTAACTAATTTAATATCCATTCATCATTCTACTTGAATCTTGATATCTCCAAAGAGAAAAATGTTGCTTTCATGTTTTTTTCTGCCGAGCCTCTTATTGTCTTATTCTTTGGTTTTAGGCTTTTGGCACTATTCCTTCACATTCTTGTTTGCATTTTAAAATATATTCCTTAGAAGTCTTACCTATTAATCAGTTATAATGTTTTCATGGTGTTGCAGATTAATGGTGTCTGCATTTATCAATGTGTACTTGATTTCTGAAACTTCTGCTGCGGGGTTGGAGATTGAGGAGACATTAGAACAAAGATTAGTCTTTTATACTCGTTTGAGAACTAGTTTGATTGCTGGGTTATTTGGGTGCGAATATGTAAGTAATGGTATCAAATACACTGATGAGGATTGTTGCAACTTGTTGGAAGCCTTCTGCTGAGGGGGAAAATTCTAATAGATGCGGAGATACTAGTGGGCGTGCAGAAGGATTGTTGTGGTACAAAGATTCAGGACAGCATGTCAATGGGGAGTTCTCAATGGCGGTAATTCAAGCTAACAATTTACTGGAAGACTGTAGCCAACTTGAATCAGGGCCAATGAGCTTACTTGAATCAGGTCCTCAAGGCACATTTGTAGGAATTTATGATGGCCATGGAGGTCCAGAAGCTGCCCGATTTGTAAATGAGCATCTTTTCGAAAATATCAAGAGTATGTTTTGTCCCTTGCTTGATGAATTTCATTACTCAGCAAAGAGCTTAAGCCTTATTTGGTTTGACTTATTACCTGTGTGGTTCTCATGCTTTCAGTCTGTTCAACTAGAGGGTTATAACATTTACTATTTGTCTATGCTTGTCAATATTTACATGCAATATTCCCATGCATAGTGATTGTTACGATCATGTTAACCTTTGGACTATTTGAAAGTTTATGAGCTTGGTAACAACTGTTTTGTAGTGATGGTTACTGTTTCACACGGGATTGCTCTCAAACTAGTCAATTCCAGCTTCAATATATGCTTTCCATTAGTGGGATGCACTATTCCCATGCATTGGCTTACTGTTTCACATTTTTGTTGTATTTTTTTTAATTGAAAGTGTATGGCCTATTTTGCTGTTTTCGCTCCACACATTTGTATGTCCACCATGAAAATATTTAGGCCCTAGCATTTCTTGCAAACCCAATATTCTCTTGCATCAAATCAAAACAGTAGAGCTCAAGGGAATAGAGCCTTTATATTCTAAAATGTTTTCAGAAGTAGATAGTATTCGTTTTGCTATCTTCACTTATAAATTAAATTCTGTGTTTGGATTTATTGTTTGGGTAATGAACCAGACTAGCGAATATTTTCAAAATTGTTGCAAAACGGTCAACAAGGGTAAAGGAAAATATATTTGCGGTTGAAAAAGGAAAAGAAGAATAAATACACAAGAATAAATAAACCAGATATATTTGTGTTGAGAAAGGAAAAGCAGCACAAAGATAAGGCCTTTTTTTTTTTTCAAAGAAACATTTGCAGTTTTGATGAGATATGAAGACATTTTGGAGGATAATTTAGAAGTTGTTTGAGTATATTAGATATATTTAGTGGCTACTTTCTTTTACAAAAAAAAGTTGCACTCTAGTGAAATGGTTCTCTTTGGGGGAATAAAAGGTAAACTATAAGAAAAATGCCAAAGGGATTGCCTCCGTTGTATATAAGATTCCATAATCTCCTTGGAAGGAGTATCAGCAAAATTTGGCAAAAATTCTTTGTCATCTAAAGCTGAAGAATTTGTACTGACTTGGCTTTATACTTGTCCAACAATGAGCCAAAATTGCACCAGACTAACGGAAAGTTGAATATTATTTATACTCAAAAGATCCAAGAATTTTACAGCAGATATCTGAACACTTCTGGGTGTAAATTGTTTAAGGACACCACTTTTCACCCTTGCTTCCCCGTTTTTCAATGATGTATCCCTGTACTTAGCATCCGCGAGTTTCAGAAACCATATCATTGTGTTTTTGAAGTAAAAGACTAGTCTAGTAAAATTGACCATAGCATTTTTTTTAATGCTCTTTTCTTCTTTCCAATTCAAATTTCAATGTTTATGTAGCTAATGCATGTATTTACTGACTTGACAGCTATTCATGGTGCAGAGTTTACATCAGAGACCAACGGAATGTCTGCAGATGTTATCACCAAAGCATTTTTGGCAACAGAAGAAGCATTTCTTTCTCTAGTGCAGCAGCAGTGGCAAAATAAGCCACAAATTGCTTCTGTTGGTGCATGTTGTTTGGTTGGTATAGTGTGCAGCGGGCATCTATATATTGCAAATGCTGGGGATTCTCGAGTGGTGTTAGGAAGATTGGACACGTCTAATAAGGAGGTCAAAGCTGTTCAGCTATCATATGAGCACAATGCAAGCATGGAATCAGTGAGAGAGGAATTGCAGTCTTTGCATCCAGATGATCCACAGATTGTGGTATTAAAGCACAAGGTTTGGCGTGTGAAGGGTCTGATTCAGGTGATTTCTGAGGCTTTGCAAGTTATACATATCTTTTGCTGTATCTCTTTTTAAATTGCTTAGTACCTGTTGCTTCATTGCCCTGCCCACCCCCCACCCTGCAGATTTCTGATAATCTTTTATATTCTCTCTGATTTTAAATGGCTTATTACCTGTAGCTTCCTCACTTTTCCCCCAATCAGTTTTCTGATATGCTGTTATATGTATGAAGTTTTCTCATCAGGTTTATGGTTGTTAAGTGTTATGTTATAATATTCATGAACCATTTTAGTCTTCCAATGAGTACCTGAAGTATTATAACTGTTTATCTAACGGCGTTTTTACTTATATTAGCACATATGGTAGGATGATGTTAATAAGGTGAAGTGCCTCTGCTTTTTAGGGCGCACACCCAACTCTATGAGCTGATAAATTACCAGTAATATCATGTCAAATTGCAAGACTATGCAGATAAGAGAAATTCTTACAAGTAGATAGGACAAATTTTTGGAATGAATTTTCTCGTCAAGGATTTAAACCTGAATTAGTAAATTCAGAGATTATTGGAGTGATAATGCAGAATACAAGAAATGTATCTATTGTGAGCCACCTATTTGTAAACTTAGAGTTGAAATAAGATTTTTGGCTTTGAAGATAAAAACTTTCAAAATGTTACAATTTTAATCTCTTTATAAATCTGTACAGATGTGGTAAAATGAATCAGTTCCAAATAAACTTATTAAGTTGCCTGCTCAAGTTTCCTAGTTATATTGCAAATCTTTTAGATAAACCTCTTTATAGTATGCATAAATTGCCACTATCTGTTGACTGAGATTTGCTACTTTGCAGGTTTCAAGATCAATAGGTGATGCCTATTTGAAGAGGGCAGAATTCAACAGAGAGCCTCTGTTAGCTAAATTTAGATTGCCTGAACCCTTTGATAAGCCAATTCTTAAAGCTGAGCCCACAATTTCAGTGCAGAAACTATGTCCTGAGGATCAATTTCTTATATTTGCATCAGATGGCCTATGGGAGCACTTAAGCAATCAAGAAGCTGTTGACATTGTCAACAATTGCCCACGTAATGTAGGATTTCTATTTAACCTTTTTCTCATGTAGTTTTGTCAAACTCTTTTTTGTTCAGTTCTTAGGCAATACGAATCTGTATTTCTATAATTGTTTAATAACCATTTTCTGTGGAGGCTGTTTTTTCTTTTTTCTTTTGGGGGAGGCCAGGGTAGGGGTGGTGTTGAATTTAATTCTTTTGCTGGTGTAGTTGCTTGTATTTATTGAAGTGGTCTATTTTTCTTTTTGATTTTTTTTATTTACATATAATACATTTTTGCAAAGTTAATTTGCTTCTGTTTAGTTTATTTCTTGAAGTTGCTTCTGGATAGACTTGAATATTCCATGTTTTTGCAGGGCATTGCAAGAAAACTTCTCAAAGCTGCTCTTCGTGAAGCAGCAAAAAAAAGAGAAATGAGATACTCAGACCTGAAAAAGATTGATCGTGGTGTGAGGAGACATTTTCATGATGATATTACGGTTATAGTTTTGTTCCTTGATTCACATCTAATCAGTCGCAGCTCCTTCCGCGGTCCTCTGCTTTCAATCAGAGGAGGTGGTAACTCTGGAAATGGCAGCACATAGTTCAAGAGGTTATAAATACCCAATGCTTAACCTCATTTTCTTCATTTGTATTAAGATTCTTTTTTTCTTTTTCCGAAGAGGAGAGTTTAAGGAAAGAATTCTTTTTTCCCTTTTCTTTTCTTTTTCTTTTTTTTTCCCTTCTTTTTCCTACTGTATAGCCACGCTCCTCGGAAACTTACTTGAAGAAGTCATAAAGAGAACTCCATAGATAGTAGAGAACTGATGCCTGGACAGAGAGATGCCTCAGGGTATTGGTTGTCGTCTGGTTATTGGCATTTTATACTTGATGAGCTATTCCTCATTAGAGCTATGGTTTTACTCTACTGCCTCAAGAATTATATAAATGGGTGTTGCCATTGCTATTGATATGAAATTTAACCAATGAAATATTTTACAGTTTCAGTTCTTTTGGTTGCCCCTATATGTTTGTTCACGGCTGATATCTGATATTTATATGCGTGTCTGCATTTTCTTTTTTCCTAATTTCTTTTTTTCTTTACTCAAAGATATCATCATGCATCAATTTTGTGATGTATAGATGCTTGTATTAGGCTTCTATGGAATGCAATACTAGTAGACTTTTGAGACTTTGACAGAAATGCTTCTATCTTCAGTTTCTAACTCCATATTTTAACAATTTACAGGAGCAAGAGCATCCTAAAGCTCACAAAAAAATGGTCATCATAACTGCAAATGACTATGTCTGTCTTGTTTCCCTGTTGAGCAGAGAAAAACTTGAGAAGCAAAATTCCAATGGCAGGGTGCAGCAAAGATATTATAAGAAAATTTGATCACAAAAGTAGTAATACATTTAAGACACTCACAAAACTGAGAAGGTGTCTAGATATTCATTGTGTTTGATTCAATGCATGTGAACACCTTAAACAGGTCTTACTATTAAGTTTAGATGGAAAAGGAAATCCTATAAATTTGAATTTCCCAGTCCACTGATAATAACAAGTATAACTGCCAGAAACCAGAAGCAAACACCTATTTTATTTGTTAAACATCTAAGTGGCTTCAATTAACAAAACAATTCAACATGTTATAACACACATTGCTCTTTAACATTGCTCTTTAACAGCCTCTCAACATCAAGCACTCTCATTTTGGTAGTGATTGAACTCAAATGTCTCGCTCAAACTTTATAATTCCAATAACTTGAATCAGTTCAATATACACATTTAAGAACAAGTCAACGGAAAGTTTGCAAGATTTAAAAATACAGACAAAGCAGATAGTATATTTTTATACATTCTCTCACAAACTTAATCCTTCACGCAGTTTCACTCAAAAGTAACCACTACCCAGAAATCATAATCTAATGCATTGAATTATGCAAAATTTGGTGAGCCCATTAATCATAAAGTGCTTATAAAAGAAGCTGCAACGACTAAAAAAAGGTTCCTTCTACCTAATATAACAAAAAAAAAAAAAAAAAAAAAAAAAAAAAAAAAAAAAAAAAAAAAGTTGAAAAAAGAACGAACAGATTTACGTGGTAATTTCCTGTATAAATGGAGTATGAATATGAATTTACAGAAGCTATTGATATTTTTATAAGACCTACTCATTAATCTCCTCAACTCAACTAGTTTTTCTTATGTACCATCTGATAAAGAAGTCCAAGTTTAGCATCCAACCATTTTTCATCCCCATGCATCATCCTCAATTGAGCTTTGTTCCGTCTCCTGCTCATGAACTGCAGATTCAGCAGCAGCTAACCAATTATGAAAGTCCAAATACTCATCATCACCATTTGAACTTTGTGGATATCCCATTAATTCGTCCATGGATAAACACATATTAAATCCCATTGGTTCATTGATAATAGAACTATCAACAATAACCCCTTCTTCATCAAGTTTTCTCTTCTTGGATGAATCTTCCATCCTCTCCTCCATAACCAAACTATTTTCAACCCCTTCTCAAGTTTTCTCTTCTTACTTCCAGGAGAAGAAACAGAAAAGGCGTCTTTCTTTCTTAAACTACACAAAACCAAATTAGATTTTATATTAGGAAAACTGTACTCATGCATTATAAAGTGCCCTTCTTGTTGTTGCTTAGACAAAGTTTTACTCCTATAACAAAACCTTCTCTTCATTCCGGTCTGTCCAATTTCTTCGAGCAGAAGTGGAACTCCAGTATTTTCTCCATGCCAAGTGCCTTTACCAACCGATCTTTCAACTCTTGATGATCTAGGGTTTGTTTTCTTGAGCTTGGTAAAGAAATAGAGATCTCCGAGGCCACCCAATTCATCTCCGCCAAAACGCTTCCAAACCATCCAAGGTTCTTCGGTGCCATACAAATCACAGTCGGGTACTATTCTCTGCAATACCGGCGACAATTGACCGGTGATTTTCGGGTAAAGATAGTCGACGTAAAGTTCCTTGTCGTTCGGAATGAATCTGTACCCAGGAAGAAGCAATGTTTCATCCATTATTTCTTCAACCTGTAGAAGTTTGAATAACCTATGCTTAATAAGCAATCCTTGCGGGAAGAAATAATTGAATACTAGTTCAACACATGAATATTTCATTGTTAAAATGCTCTGACTTTACCCAAATTTGAATGGTTTTATAACCACTAGATTTAAACATATAGCAAAGGATTTATATTTCATCAAGAACCCATTTAAGTAACAGCAAAAAGCCAAAGAAAAAAAAAAACAGCAAAAAGCCAAAGAAAAAAAAAAGGTTCAAATAGCACAAAACTTCAACACTTCCGCAACAACCGCAATATGAACAAAATCAAACACAAGAAATTGAGAATAGCCAAACGAGAAACACCCATACCTTAAGAAGTCTCAATTGTCTATTATCAAAGTCAGAACCACTTCAATTGTTGCCAATCAATATCACCCAACCGCTTCAATTGTTGCCGAACAATATCACCCAAACTTGGTTTAGCTTACTGACAATCGGGATTGAAGCTGACAACGTCGGCGAGAAAGTGAGCAATTTAAGGATTAAGCCAGTTGGAGTTAGGGCAACATTAAAATTAAGGACGGAGAGGATACTGCGCGGGTTTGGATTGAAGGGAGCGCCAATTTTGAGACGAGTTATGAATGATCTCCTTTTTATACTTTCTCAAGTGTGGAGACCACGTCTTCTTGAGATCCTTAGGGAGTTCGGATTTAATATAATATATATATATATATATATATATATTATTTATTATTTATTTATTTATTTATTGGATATATGTTTAGTTAAGTTGGCGCCAATTTTTATTAAATAAATTAGAAATTCAGAGAAAATTATAATGCTGTATAAATTTCTCTTTTTATTTTAGAAATATTAAAATATGTTATTATGAAAAAGAATTAAATTATTATTATTCATTTTATTTTCTCATTAAAAATATTAATAAACTATTTAATATTTAATTAATTATTATAAAAAGAACACTCAAAGTTTTACTACTTTAAAAATATTAATGATAAGGATTATTTAATTTATAATTAAAAAACTGAAAAACACCATTAATATTGCTTTCATAATATTGAAACTAAAAAAAATCATTAATTATTTAAAAAAATTAAAAGTTTAATTATTATTTAAAAATATTTAAAAAAAGAAGTTGAAATTTTTTTTTAAATATTAGTAACATTATTAATTTTTATTAATCACTGATAATTATAAAATATTATTTAATATTATTAATGACATTGATTTCACTCCATCAAAGTCTATCTATGGTATTAACAAAATTAGTTTCTTTCAAATAAGAAAAAAAAATTTCCAACCAAGCAAGCAAGAGCATCAGGCTTATTTTAATTGGTCTACATAAAATATACTAAATATTTCTTAATTGTCCTGTACTTCAATTCATTACTTAAATGAACTTTTATGTTACTAAAATAGTAGTTGAATTATTTTTAAGTGACGAACTGAAGTATGGAGATAATTAAGAAATATAGTTTATATTTGAGGTACTGTGAGTGAAAATATGCTTTAGGTTTATTATATTTATATAGACCAGTTCTTTTATGAAGTGTGCACACGTTAACTTTACTAGTTATACACTCATTTTAATTCGTTTAATTTTGTATTCATATAATATTAAAGCATAAGTTTTTATTTAGAACATAAATATAATGACCAATTAATATTGCATTTTATCCATACAATGATTTGTGACATCTAATTGGAAAGAAAATTATATTTCTACTTCTCCCTTTAAAATAATATTTTTCTTTTTTTTAACTCTAAAAAATTGCACTTTTCATTTATATTATGTTAAAGTACTAGTCCACTATAATGTAGAAAATATTATAGTAATGATCATTACCTAAATTAAGTTTGTGCTTTTTTTTTTTTTTTTTTTTTTTTTTTTTTTTTTTTTTTTTTTTTTTTTTTTTTTTTTTTTTTTTTTTTTTTTTTGAGTTGATGGAGTATAAAGGTAGGGGTGAGCATTTGGTTAATTCAGCCAATTTGGTTTGGTGAATAAATATTCGGTTAAAAATTCGGTTAAAGAAAATTAAAATTTCGATTATTGGTTAAAAGTTCGGTTAAAACTTAATTTAACTGAATTAATCAAATTAACCGACTCTTAAAACTACGTTGTTTTGATTAAGGTTCGATAATAAAATTAAAATTTAGAAATATTTCAGTTTTTATTTTGATTAAATTGTGATTAATAACTTCGATTCATTTTTATTTCAGTTAAATTCAGTTAATCATAACTTTCGGTTAATTCAGTCAGTTAATTAAATTTTTATTTTCTTTAATTTCGATTGGATAACGATCAAAATTAATTTGGTTAAAACGGTTCAGTTAAAAAAATTAATTCTGTTAAATTCACTTAAGTCAAAAAAAATTTTAATTAACTAATTTCAGTAAAAATTTTACTCAAACCGACCAAATTGGCGAATGCTCACCCCTATATAAATGCTTAGAAAATTTTCATCTCTTTAATGTAAATTTACTTTTGAGTTTAATTTTATTTTGAATGCCTATTTTAAATATAATAACTAATATCTAATATTGTACTCGTAATTCTGCGTATTGTGTGTGGGCATAAATATAGTATTTAAATAATTTTGTTATTAAATTACATTACTATTTATTTTGATTAAAAAAATAAAATTAACATGTATTTTTACTCATTTAACGATATAAAATAATTTTCTCCTTTTTAATTAATATACTTTATAAAATAAAAAATAAAGGGACTACTATTTCAAAAAAGTGATAAAAAATCAAACTCGTTGAGAAAAAAAAGACTATTATTATTCGTTAAAATATATTTAAAGGCAACTAAAATTTTTACAATATCTAATTTTATATTTAACATGCAACTCCTTTTGTTGTAATTGTTTTAAGATTTTTCCTTTCCTAAAAAGGCTTGAAACTAACATAAATAAATGTTAATATGTAAATCAAAAATCAATGTGCAAATAATAATATTGGTAATGGAAAATCATTTCTCTCAAGTTTATTAAATTCAAAATTTTCAAACTCCTATATATTTATAAAAATATTTAAAAAATTAAAATTTCAAAGGTCTAATTATCTTTATATCTATTTTAAAAATTATTTTTAAAAAATAATCCAATTAAATCATAGAAAAATTAAATAAAATTTCATAAATTTCAAAAATAGAATAAATATTAAATAAGAAGGAGTGTAGAAACCTAAATTATTTAAGTTTAATTAATTATTAGCTTAATTATTTTATTAGCTTAATTATTTAATTAGCCAATTAAATTATTAGTTAATTAAATTAAATAATTTACTTTAATAACCAATCAAAATATTTAAATAGTTATGAAAATAAAATTATTGGATAAATATTATTTACTGCATAAATATATAATATGGTAAAGTCCAATAAAAATTAGCCAAGTAGACCAATTAAATTAAATTTTGATGAATAAGTCAGCATCTACTTAAGTTAAATAATGCAGCAGCAACCAATGAGAGCTTGTCAAGTGGACCAATCAAATCACATACTTGATAAGGGGACTTCCTTAAATCTCTATAATTAGGAGGTCTCTCTTCATATATCGGGACAGACACAGACACATAGAGAGAGAAAGATATAAAATAAGCCTCAAAGCTCTATCAAATTCAAAAGCTACAAAAACTCTCTCAAAAGTCCAAAGAATCAAAGTTCTTTCAACTCCAATTCAAGATCAAGTCTTTTCGACCCCTGAATCGTCTAAAGTTTGTTCAACATCAATTCAACATCAAGTCGCTTCAATTGTTGAATAGTATTGAAGATCAAGTCGTTTCGACTCTTGAATCGTGTCCAGGACAACAAAGAGTAATCTCTAAAAAAATAAGTGTACACCATCATTTCTAAAAAAATAAAAGATAAAGAATATATTTAAAATTTTTTTATTTTAATTTCATTTTATTTAACGAATAGAGTCTAAAAATAAAGTGTTTACCCATATTTTAAAAAATTCAAAATGTAATTAATTAAAAATTAAAAATCTCATTTTTAGTACCTGAATTAAGGTTTTCAATATCACATGAATACCTATACTTAAGAATATCAAAATCTATTAATTATAAAAATTGTTGGACACTAATAATGCAATATCAAATAGAGAAAATACATATACATATTTTCTTCAATTAAAATGCATAAAAATCTAAATAAAATGATATTAAAAGGATAAATGGAACCTATTTTCTCCAATTAAAATACAATAAGAAAAATACAACTAAAAGGATCTTTAAAAGGATAAATGGCTTCTCCAATTAAAATGCATAAAAAATCTAACTAATATTAGGAATTTCAAATTAATCTATAGGAAATTCCATTATTCCTACATATTCTCATATTTATATATAGCATATATAGATATTTTGAAATTCATAACATTAGATACATAAAACTAATTGTCTCTAAATCCGTCTATGAAAATTTCGATTAGTGATACATTATCTGTGTTTACAATTAGTTACCGTGACTTTTGTTACTATCCTGTCTCTAATGTGCAGTCAAATTAGTTCATTTCCAATTTAATCTCTAATGATTTAAAATTTGACACATAGGAAACAGTCATTTTTTCCGTCTCTAGGTAGTCTCCGAATTTTAATTTAGAGATGAAACTTTTGTCTGTTTCTAAAATTCCGATACTAATTGCTCCATTTTATCATAGTACAATCTCAGCTATCCTGTTTGGCACCATTGGCATGTTCTAATTCATTTCAAGGTTAGAATTTAAAGCAGTACTTATGTATAAGTTGAATTTGAATTTGATGAACTGAACAAATAATATTTTGTCTGTAGAGTCACTCTAAGGTCAGAGACAGTCTTTATATGTGATATTTGCAAAAATCACATTCTGGATAGTTAAATTGAGAATACACTCGAGGCTTTGAAAAGTTAAAGTTGCTAATAATTGTAATGGTACAGATTAGGCTACTTGTAAAATTCACATACATGATTACAATGTTGAAGATTGGTTTGTGGTGTCTGAAATTTTACAAGGGATTTATTATTTCTTTAAACTTGTGAATTTTAGCAGCATCATACGTATCTTTATACTAACAACAATAGTTTCTTGGTTACTGTAACTTTTAAAATAATAATTTTTTACCTTTTTAAAATGTTTAATTGATCTAAATTTAAAAGTCATGGTAATTAATAAAAAAAATTTTACAAATAGAAGTACTTAATAGGTGTAATTTTATAAGTTAAAGTGTTGAATGAGTCCAAATAAAAGTTGAGAGTATCACAAAAATTTTTGTATAAATTAAAAGGATGAATTTATGTATTTGAGTATCACAAAAATTTTTGTATAAATTAAAAGGATGAATTTATGTATTTAGCCTAATTAAAGTGTGGAACTAAAAAGTAATTTGTGTTATGAAATAAGTTGATGTCCTATATGGGTTAAAAGCTTGTATTCTTAATTATTGTTAACTCTATTTCTTCATTTATGTAACTATATATATGTGACTTTTCATCAATAATAAAGACAGTCTCAAATTTCTCCTATATTTTATTCTCTATTCCTTCTCTTTCTTCTTTTTAATTTTATATTATTTTATAATACATTATCAACACGATTATTCTACCTTGATTTGTTCTATCAATTTGAAAAGGGATAACTTATGGTTTGCAATAACCAAAGTTAAAATTCGAGTGTTTTGAATTTGTTTATCTTTGAAAGGTAA